GACTCCAATCACTCGTTGATAGAATAAAGGATGATGGGAAAAGGTTACCTCTCTATATCCTATTACAAGAAAATACTTGATGTCACTTTGATTATTCACACTTTAAGGTGAATTGAGAGCTACCTCTGCCACAATATCAAAGGCTCAGACTACTTGACAAAGAGTTCGAGTTTTGTAGTTGTATCGAAGGACACGGAACCAGATTTTTTATCAGGATCTCAGCATCCTATATCGTGATATATGATACAAGGGATATGCTGACATGGGTCTTGCTAAACATAACTGAGAATTAATAGAGCCAAAATTTGTGACCAGGAATTTCTACCTTTCGACCATAGAATTGCTCAGAAACTGAAAGATGGCGTTATATGATCAAGCCAGGTTCTTGAGCATTAGCTGCACTGTATCAAATAGACTCTCCACACACCTGTACTAATAGGAGTGGTCAGATAGTTGGGTATCTACTTTGACGGAAAGCCTACAGCTAGCTCATAGCACACTAAGCCATATCCGACACCCAGCATCTACAACTCGATAACTCCATTTCCAAGCTCTCCGGCAGCTCTACCTCACCCGTGTAACATCTATTCATGACTATGGCTCAATTTTGTTGAATGGAAGAAGGGAGTACATAGGGTTTACAAGTGTCATCGACCTCAGAATTAGGCTTTGACCCTTATCGCAGGGTCTTATCCCTGTTGTTCTATTAAATACTTGAGGTTGAGGCCGTCCCTTTTCCCACCAAGGTGAGGCACCAACAGCGAGTAATCAAATTTAGCATTAGGATACTTCAACTGCAACAGCTTCAAGCACTCCGAAGTCACTTGTTCATACTAGTCAGGGACGAGAGCTCTTCCCCTACTAGCATAGCTCTTATTTCATTGGAATACCTGGGTACGCAAGTCTCCCAGTTTATCATGATCGGAATATCTCTGAAACTGCTCTCACAATTAAAGAGGCCAGAGCAATGAAATGCTCTGTGGATCGCTCCTTGGAATCCATGTCGAATCGAGACGAGTATCTGCATTCACCCAAAGAGCTAAGCAAACGAAAACCACCTAAAATTCTTGTAGATTCTTTCTCCAAACATGGACATTATCTACACAGAGAATTTTGTCTATAACGAACGTAGAAGCGACATAAATCATATAGAGTATTTACCATTGACCAGAGATATCAATTTTTTTGCAACTTAGTAGGCCTCATAGGAATTACAAAGACAGAAATAAACTGCACCATGAAGGTCATCTATTATCTAAATAGAAAATTACTCAATATTACCTACTTTATCTTTACGGATAGCCATTCAAGCATCAAACGTGTCCAACATGATGCCAACTACACCTCACACTTTACGAGGCTTTTATCAGAAGGCGTTGATGTTAAAATTATTTAGCACCAATCTTATACAAGAATTGAGGGCATTTTATTTTCAAACCATTTGACCAGGGCAGTGATAAAAAATCCATTAGATAGGGACCAATACACATTATTATTTCATTAAGCAAAAAGCCACAGAATGGGTCTTGGAGGCTTGAAAGTGAGGCTGATCTTCTGAGCTTGTAAACTAATGGTGAGGAAGAAAATCTAGGGGACTTGGTGAATGCAATAGAAGGCAGGCGCAGAAAAATATGCCCTAATCTTTTATTGAGTTCGCCTAGCTTCATGGCTACAGCAGAGAAACAGAGATAGAGTTTTTCCAACCACGAACTAGTACTGGGAATACCAGAACTTATCTGAAGATAATAGGAAATGAATTCGACAAATTTTGCAACTTTTGTATGACAAAAAAGCTGGAGACTATGCATCTGGAGCTGAACTGAAATTCGAGAAGCTAAAAAGGCACAGAGAGGCAGCTTTGAAGGAAATAGAACCTCGAATATTTCCAATCCTATTCAAAACCGGGAGAGGAAGGGAATCTTCATTGAAATAGGTGAATAAATCCAACTGCATGGTATCACATGATAGAATAAACTTAGAAGACAAGATTTGGAGATTATATGACAATAGAGTTTGAGTTTTCGGAAATATATAAATTTGTCGGCTATGTATCAGGATACACTATGAGTGAAAAAATCTCAAGAATCCTGCGCGTTAATAAATTTTCTCAAAGTTAGATAATCTCATTCCACCGCTTTGACCAACTTTTGAACAATCATTTATCGAAGCTAACAAATTCGTAAGTTAATGAAAGCTTCACCATACTATCATATAATGGTAAGCATTGATGTTAGTGGTACATATGGTTAATTTGTTTAGCCATTGACCGGTCAAGGTTCATGAGTCCAAACAACTGCTTACAATATAATAACGATTTGATTTATAACCAGTATACTGGAAGTTGGAATAATTGGAGCTATCAAGAAGTCCAAGTTTGATACACACGTGACTGCAAATTCTGTACTTAGTTTTACTTCGGTATTACTTGAAGGAATGCGCTCTAAAACCTCAATGACTGAGGGTTCATTATCTGCTTGATGCAGTCTCTTTTTATCAGAGCCTCCACTATTTAGTCGGCAATCAAGTTATTATTTTTGACTTTCTGACGTGACAAAATGGTTTTACTTTGGGGACGGGAGATGAAGACACACATTACTCTAGACCTATGAGTCCTCCAATTCGTCTAGGCTCCCAAGACAATCTTGTGTATCGTATTAAGGTTTGAATATATGATAAGGTAGCGCTACAGGTTTCATAGGGATACGTGTGCAGCTGTATTGCGTAGGCACTAAGGGTTTACTATTATTAGATGGCGCTACAAGTAATTAGTTTGCAGCTTATGCTCTACATTGCTCATACTTATACTTTTAGTGAACAACTCCTACTCTTTCGGCCAACTTCTTGTCTCATTCCGGGAATATTGCGCCCAAGTCATCGCGCGATATTTCCAACATTAGATTTATGGAGATAAATGGTAAGCATGGCCGTTGTAACTTGATTTACCTCTATAATTGGCAGGGCTGCAGTAGGAGCGCCAATGTGTTTAAATGTGTGAGGGCTTTTTCCGTCCCACGTTCTTCCACATCTTTTGCATCATTGGACATTGATCATGATAATTATTTTATACCAAACTTAATCAAAATAGGCAATACTAGTCGGTTCGCATGCATCCTAATTCAAGTTAGCAGAGATTGAAGTCTAAGATGGCCATGTAATTTTCTACTCTCAATAAATGATCCACAACTAATTACACCTCGATCCGTCGCCAGCGAGGCTAGCTGCAACCGCTGATCCAAAGAAAACGAAATCATGGCGCCAATGGCTGCAAACCGTGAAATTTCACAGATAATAATTCAATCCCTGAGAGACTTATTCAACCTATTGGTTCCAAGGAGTTGGTAGATATTCATCGCTGATGCCCCAAATTTACTGGTTAACAACCAATGCGGGACTAACGCCAAAAAAGATCCCTTTGGAGTTTTCCCATCTCATATAGACACACTAAGATAGAAATATTTAAAATAAATTTCCAAGTTTGACCCTATTTATTTGTATAGTTCTCCCGCAAGGTGCATCAGTAATGTGGAATTACGCCCAAGAACTTGTGTCAGTCGCACCAAGGAATTACCAGAACTGAGCGGATTAACATCGACGAGAACCTAAGTTTCTCAAAACACCACGGCTCAATGTACTTTTTTCTGACATCAGAGCATGCAGCCTATAAATTTAAGCGGTAGAATTTAGATTTCGTAGGATGATACACGGCTACCATCGCCTCTGATAACCGCCGAGACATTGTATAAGTCAGCAACCTAGTGCGACCGAGTACAATGGAGTCAGTTTTGGCCGCTGGAGACAAATCTGTCGAATTCAGCGTAAGGATAGAGACATAGCTCTGGTAACCTAAATTTTATGGAATCACATCGCTGTCGAGCTAGCAAAGCGATGGGCCCTTGAGCTGGCGGGATGACAACCTAGTCTCCGAAGACAGGGTGACTCCCTACAAATGTTAAAAGTAACTAGGCCGAGGACGAACGATGATGACGGTCGGGCACACTGACTCTTATATGATCCAACACCCTGTCTTATTCCTTGGCTGCACCCCTCAGTCATTGGTCATTCGTTACAAGATGCAGTGATTGTGGTAAAGCTTTCACCCCCATTAGGACTGATACAAGAGCTTGATCCTCTGTTGAAAACGAGCTTGTACGTTGAGAAATCTCTGACCTCAAAGCTATCTCAATTCTGTATTATATATAAGATCTTGCCCTGACGGGCTCAGCCAATTATTTTGGCTGTGTCGCAACTAACCATTGGCCGGACAGAGTTCCTAGCTTATCCCTGTCTTAAAGGTTCAAGGATTGTGAGGGGCGTTCTGTGGCTTGGCGGATCTAGAAACGCACTAGAAGACTCCTCAGACTTCCCGGACGGTAGGAGACGCCACAATATGGTCCCTGCGCTAGAAATGCCCGGAAATCGTCTAGACATTTCAACCCACAAGGATGGGATTGCCTGTAGATTAGATGTTACGCCTTCCTAGCCTACGGAATAGCTTCACCGGCCCCGCCCTATACCCTGCACCTCTGCTAGCCGTAAGCTTATCGGACTTCTCCTCCAATCTGCCGGATGCCAGATCCAAGCTGCCTCACTGATTCTGAGTTGTCCCTGCCTATCGAGTTTTTCGGTGGGTACCATTCTATGTTAAAAGATGAGATTGATCACATATTAATATCCAGCTATTTCCTTAATCCATGGTCCGGTTTTCCTCTCTCATTACGCTTGAATACGCCAACCAACTCTACAACAACGCATCTTACCTTATTCTTTCGCTCCGTCAAGAGAAACACTTCCAGCCGAAATCCAGTCGAATCACTCCATTGAAAAAGAGATACGACCAGCTTACCGAATTCTACATTTCAATACAGCTCATTGGACTTTTACTCATCTCTTGCAGCTTTTGGCGGCTCCACAACGATTTATCACTCGTAGCAGACCAAAGCAGTTTAAATTTACTGATGCAGAGTGGCGAATTGCAAAATTTGGCTTTTTGATACTTTGAGATGGCTCATAATATGTCCCTCGATCAAAAAGATATTGTTAGAGGAGCTTCTGAAGATTCGATGGATGTTAAATCGCCATCACCTGAACGGGAAGCTAGCACATCTGGAGAAAATTCAGGTCAGCGAAAGAGAAAGGGTGGCCGAAAACCAGTATGTGTTACTTCCTAACTCCTCTACTTGCGAAGCAATAATACCGATAGTTTCACTAGATCTATGCAACATCAGAGGAGCGTAAACAAAGAAATCGTCAAGCACAGGCTGCTTTTCGTGAACGTCGTACAGAGTACATCAAGCACCTAGAGGACGCCATTAGGAACCATGAAACCAACTTTCACTGTCTCCAAGCTACTCACCGGAACACCTGTGATGAATTTCTACTACTAAAATACAAAAACTCGCTTCTGGAAAGAATATTGTTGGAGAAAGGTAAAATAACCAGATTCACCTAATTTTGGGCCAAAAATAATTTTTAAACCCAGGAATAGATGTTCAAACAGAGTTGAGATCCAGTGCAGGAAATTTGGATTTGACATCATCATTCGGGACGCCAGTCTTGTCACAAATACCATCAGCGCAGCGAGCTATCACCAATCGAAACTATCAAACTCAGCGACGAATGAATCGATTCAACTCCAAAATTGCAAATAAACTTGAGCCTGGTGCTCCTTACCAACTTCCGAGATATAAACAGACACCGCACTCACCCGGATTTATAACGCACAGGCTGGTAACCCCACCGGCCACAGATTCCTCGTTAAACTATCGGCAGCAACAATTTCAAAGCTGTCAGCCGCAAACACCCCACGCTCTCGAAAAGGATATTAGTCTGATGGGAGCCAACGATATAATGGGGTTCCCATATTCATCCAAAGGTATGTGGATCATGCAAGCAATTCAGCATGAACAATACTGTACGCGGAATATTTCTAGTCTTTGAGATCAACCCAGGAAATCGTCTCATGCTCACTGGGCTAACCACATGAATATAGAACAAAATTACACGGTCCACTCAAGTACAGTCGATCACCCAGATTCATCCAAACCTCAATCGAGCACTTACCATGAGGATACACAATCAACACACGTCCAGCGATATGATCACCAACAGAGTGTTAGCTCAAATCAAATCCAACTTGAACCACAAGTACAGGGATTTAGGCCGCAGAGTCAAAACTCGGATGTGCAAGTAAGCGAGAATGCTCAGTCATACAACTACATAGGACAAGGAATAGACCAGTTCGATACGTTATCCGGAATGAATCGCTACAATTAATTGGTTTCGAGGAAGAGATTACTTTTTCTTTGATTGTCAACATAGGGAATTCGAATCTTTTAAGGAATATTAATGACATCACAAAAAATAACAAAGGGGTAGCATAGCAAGCGGGAATAAAAAATGTGGTTTGAATAAAAAACAAAATGGCTGGGAATCTCTCGATTAGAGTTTAGGGACCTAGGCTAGAAGCTGATATATATTGAGCTAAACCAACCGAATCTTTCTCCTTGACCTCCAAAAGCAATTGCGTAACTCGTACCTTTTCCTTCATTCTAAACGTGTCAGACCCAAACATTAGACGTGTACCATCGGCCCACTTAATTATTCTCGAATTAAATCACTGCGTATCCACGCAGGGCTGTCCCACGCAATCACTCTGGGGCTCCAGGTGAATACCATGAAATTAAGCTGGGCTCTCGCGATGGGGATTTATTACTGCGCAAAGTGGGCTGAGAGACGGAATCTCGTGATGCACCAGAGAAAATTGAGAGGCTATTGGTGCAGCCGCGTGTCCACCTTTTTGCGGGGTCGTCTGCGAATCGGGCCGCTCGTAGGATGTCGAGCGATGTCGAGCGGGAGGGTAAGCTTTAATTCCACAGGTGACTGGAGTCTCTGTCGATACTTGAAGCTTCGGAGGCGTGGGGCCGATGGGCCCTCCCTGAAACACTCTTCAACCTTAATTAACGCATCTCCGGGCATCTTGCCTCAGCGAGAGAAAGGGCGAGCATAGCAGATGAGCCAAGCGAGTCCGGGCACGTGACATTAGGGGACACACCCTAGTGCCGTTCTCGCTCGAAGACGAAATAAGGCTTTGATTGGATGATTTTAAGTTTGGTGACGTCCACAATGGAACAAACGTGTCAACGTAGCATACTCGAAGTTGATCCCGGGAGGACGCAGGCTGACCACCTGTCAGCGGTGTCCCCTACAAACCAGAGTGTGAGGTATTCCCCCGGAATCAGGAATCAGTCGCGACAATGAGTTCTCGTCGAGATGTCAGTGGTGAGCAGTGGCTTGGGTACGCCTCTAGTCGATAACCAGACCTGTAAAGCTGCAAAGATTTCAAGACTTCACAGTACAACCAGATCAATCATCTACGGGCCAGATACCAACTTCAGCCAAGTTTACTTGATGCTCGTCTCCCAAGATCTTATACCCTTCAAAAACTCGACTTTCCTTGCACTCTTCCACATAAATTCAACTTGCGAGCTACTGAACCTGTCCATCATCCAAAATCGTACTCGTAATCCAATCTACAAGAGGACATTTGTCTCTCCACATCTGGCGCGCGCTGTGAAGGAATAGTCGTTGTATCGGCCTTAAAAACGTCAATACCTCGGCCACGATCACCAACAACTTGCTTCCAACAAATCGTTGTTGACCAATGATCATGAACGAAATACCGTAGCTAATTTTTCGGTGCATGGTACAGAGAATTTGACAAAGGTCGGGGTACCTGTGACTCGCTCGTACGCTGTTGTTAGTATATTCGGCCTCCACGAATCAGGTTAGGGCAGCGACAGGTCGAGGCCAGAAGGTTAGATGATGTCCCAAACTTCCCAAGGAGGGATTGATAGTTAGAGCAAAGAGGCGATAAGACGAAGCGAAAGAAACATAGAAGGAGCGCCACATGAATAAAATAGCTCCAGATAATACGAGGAAAGGCTAGGAAGAGCCAACACTAGAACTGAACGTGAGAGAAAATGTAAAGAATGAGAAGTTATCAAGGACTCAGACTCGTAGTGGTAGAGGCTTAGGAGTTATTTGAACTTCTGCGCGTCGAATTCGAAGTCTTTGGACGGTTGTAGTTGACAATTTCAACACATGGGTGAAGTCTGGGGCGATCCGTTCATTCAGGTGGGACAAGCTTTGTGTACTTCATGGCGGTTGACATGATCCAGCCCAGCTGCACTCTTATTCAAGCTCTCATAGGAGCGTAGAGGGCATCAATTGCCTAGCACAACGATTCACAAACAAACAAATTTGATCCTGGGATTATTACAAGACAATGATGGTAAGATCTTTACTTGTTTTCATTTTCGTTTTCTAAATTTACTGCCCGAGGGAACCATGCAGGTGTCTATTAAATCCAAAATTTACGTTGAAGGAAATCTCTCGCTCAAAATGCCCTCACACTCTTGTCCTTCAGCGCTTTTCACCTTCAGACTTTACCGTGAGCAGTAGTTGTGTGGCACGTGATGCGAAGCGGGAGAGTGGGAACAGAATGGTGAATAGAGTAGAATAGAATTTGATTAAAGTCCCTACTGGGTCCATAAATATGAGGGACTGCGTAGACCAAGTAAATAGATTTACAGTCTACAATCAAGATTGAATGTTGTTTTGTTTGATATTTACCAATAGATTTTGAGGGTCATGCCCTAGTAGATTGGTGAGAGCCGCGAGCCAGATCGAAGCAATTCGGCTCGCTTGTTGACGGAACATACTTTCGTATTAAAACATATAACCCACTGCTTCATTCGCGGACTTGTTGGCAGAGGGAAGCTTATGCGATAATGAAGGACAAAAGAATGTCAATTTGACTCTTCTAAACACAGGTACCAGCTCCTTTTAATCCCAATAGATAGTCCGTGCGGGATCTCCCATTAGCAGTAGTAAAGATCGCTAACACAGGGCATACGCAATGTCCATTCGCCCAACACCAGTCGGTCGGGACTACCTATTATCGAGCCTAGCAGGACCGACAAAGTGCATCCCAACACAGAAATAATGGAAAACTCAACAACCAAGCCCTTCATCAACAACTGCCATTGAGCATCATCTGACTTACCTCTGTACTCCATATTCTCAACATTTCGTATATTTAAAGTGATACCGAAAAGGGGGGACAGTTCTCAACACCTATCAGTGCTGTCCCCTACGAGCCTCCAGCTCTGACTGCAGGTTCTTCAGAGGCGAGATTAAGTGATAAAGTCCCCATTTTGATGAGGATTTCCAATCGCTTTCGCTTTCGCCATCGTCTTCATCTCTCAATACAAAGCCCCTATTACCACTATCATGGAGCTAACGATGGTCAGATCAGAGATTGGGGTTTCGTCCTTCTCATCAACTCTTGATTGTGATGGCATAAGGTTCAGGAAAGGCTCTGACTAAAGGCCAAACAATAACATAATTGTAATCTATAGAGAGAGAAGGACAGGTAGGCCAACTAAAAAATATAGATACATGAAAGTACGTCAATGTTAGTCCTAGCGTCCACATAGCATGTACCTAGTATTCTATGACATTGATCATGGAATAAAAGCTATCAGATGAGTTTCCGGGGCGTACCCAGCATCCGATTTGGAGATGGCGGATTGGATCAAGTCGACCTCAACTGTTACAAAGAAGGGAGATATAGATGAATATGCGCACCTCATGTGGTCTCGGTGTCTAGGCCTCGCCTGGCTGGGGCAGCAGGTATTTTGCGACTTTTTCCCGCGCACGCAGTTTCCATTGTCACCATTTTTATATTTTTTTGGGTAGGAGGTCCCGTTGAATATGAATTTTAATTCCACGTTTAAACACTGAGCTGAATGGCTATTCATCACGGGCAATATATCAATGATCTTCCAAGTAACATCAGAGGCTAGGAGGACTGTACCAGGTGTGGCCTGGGCTAGAGACGAGCTCGATGTGCCAGACAGTCATGGACTCAAGTAGTACAATAGACATGTCACTCACTCACTCTGCTGTTTTAACGAGGCATGTGTCCAAGTTCGCCAGAATCTGCTTATGAGAATGTCCCGGATAATATACCACTGCACCATCCAGCCTCACGAAAGATATCACTGACAGATGTTGGTGTAGCATCCAAGATCTGCGTCATAGGTACACTCGCTTTTGCAGCTCATGCTGTAGTCTTACTCAAAATCACTTTTCAACAATACATACTTGCCCGTGAGACTCGGGAGACTTTGCCGTGTCATGATCCGTGCTCATGATCAAGCCATTATGAACATGGCAAGAGCTGTCTCTAGCTCCCTACTTCGAGTGGAGTAGGTGCATAGTCTACTCCCTCTCTATTGAGACCGCTAAACTCGAGCGCTGGACAGCAGAGCTGTTGAAAATCCGTACCACATCAACTGAGCTCTGAAATTGAGAAATTCACAATAAAAACTTATCAAATGCAGCCAGTTTTTCATTGAAAATCTCTAGCAGCTTTTCATTATCCTGGACTCGCCAAAAACTAAAAATACTTTTTGGCTCAACTTGCGTGGGCATCAACGTCCATGTCCTAGCGCCAGAAATACCCAGCAGACTTGGTATTTCGCCCAGAGCCTTATTTCCATCTCTTTCAAAGTACCCATGGTCCCGTCTTCCCGACTTGATGTCTCTCAGCTAGCGCAAATGCCCGAGTCTACACAGAAATGATTATCGTGATTTACGGCGCCCTAAGTTTATCTTTTGCGCTGAGGGTATGAGGACGGAAGCAGCTGGAGTTCAAATCCAAGTCTATGAGTGTATTAATACGAGGAGTATGTACGGTATTCTACTATCAGGCAAGATGCAACCTTGGCTTAATCAAGAATATTTTTTGAGCAGGATATCAAACGGATCAAGGTATTTGGTGTGGTCTTAGGTAGGTCCTCGCCTGGTTGAGGCTACAGGCTTATGAAGATTTTTACTGTGCACGCAAATTTCATGTCTGTGTTTTTTTAATTTCTCTAGCTAGAAGAGAGAAAAAAGGGTATGTATATTGTACTAGTTGAGTCTTAGACTATCTAGCACATCGAGCTCGTCTCTAGCCCAGGCCACACCTGGTACAGTCCTCCTAGCCTCTTATGTTACTTGGAAGATCATTGATATATTGCCCGTGATAAATAGCCATTCAGCTCAGTGTTTGAACATGGAATTCAAATTCATATTCAACGAGACCTTCTACCCAAAAAAATATAAAAATGGTGACAATGGAAACTGCGTGCGCGGGAAAAAGTCGCAAAATACCTGCTGCTCCAGCCAGGCGAGGCCTAGACACCGAGACCACATGAGGTGCGCAT